TATATATATATATATATATATATATATATATATATATATATACTAGTAAGGTACCCGCGCGATGCAGCGAGCGTTTACTGCGGAGGCGATGAATAGTTCTTTTCGGCTTTACTTTTGGTGGACATTGAATAGTTTATGTAACATCCCGATTCTCAGGTGTGAGATTTAATTCCTTAAGCATGTTTTTCCATTTGAACTTGGCATGTTGGTAGCCTCAACACGACGTGTTGAAGGACTTTTGGACCGCGTATTTTATGGACCAACACGGTGAATTGGTGAGGGGAACTCGGCGTGTTGACAACTAGATGAGAAACCCTAAATTTTAGGGTTTTACACCCTATATAACCTCCTTAAGTCCTTAAGGATGATCTTTTATCAGCCTCCAAACCCTCATATCGGACCTTGTGAACCCTAATCATCCTCCCTCTCATATTGTGAACTAGTGTGGCATTTTGAAGCAAAAGAAGAAGAAAGTTGGAAGAAGGAAGCAAGGATCTAGCAAGCAAAGCTCTCATCTTCGGTTTGAATCTCTTATGGACGTTTGTAAGTGTCCAAAATCCGATTTTTATTCCTCTATGTAGCTAGATCTTGAGTTTTGTCCATTTTTCTCCTTATTCTTGAATGTTGCTATGGATGGACTTCATAAAGTTTGCAACTTTATGAATCTCCAAGTCAAGGTGACCTTGTAGTAGCTTGGATCTGGTCTTTAGCCAAGTTTTGATGCCATGAATGGAGTTTAGCTCATATTTTCCATTTTTGACCCATTTTGGGTTCAACACATGCATTGGACATGCATGTCTATAAAGCACTAACCTTCGGGATGATTTTGAGGCTATAATCTCTTCTGGAAAAGTTCGGTTTCAGATCTCAAGGATTTTGTGCTTAATGGTTAAGCCCTTGAGTCTTCAAGCCTTGTGGATGGGTTTTTGAGAACATGGAGTAGCCCTAAAGGATAAAGTTGGAAACTTTATCCTTTATTATAACATTTGAGTTTAGATCTAAGCCTTAGAGTCCTCGGAATTGAAGAAATAGTTGAATGTATTAAGCTGGGGAAAACTCGACGAGTTTGCCAGCCAACTCGGCGTGTTGGCTAGGGTTTTTCTAGACCTTCTAATTACTGTAGAAACTCGGCGTGTTCATTGGTGCACTCGATGAGTTGGGTCAACATGGACTGTTGACCTTGACCGTTGACTTTGACTTTGACCATGGTTGACCAAGTTTGACTTTTGAGGGCATTTTGGGTATTTTGGGATTTTGATAGAATTGGTCACATGGTGGTTGTAGGCATTTGAGACGGGAGCTGAGATTCAGGGTCAGAGCTTATCAGTTCTGCACTACTTGTGAGGTGAGTCATCCTCACTGTACTTGCAGGTCGAAGGCACCAAGGTCAGCCCTTTGGATTTGATATCCTTCTATGTATGCTATAGTGTTGTAGTGATATGCTAGATCGGTATCCTGGTATTTAGAATGTTGCTATGCTTAGTGATCTGTAAGATCTGTCTGTCCGTTTGCTGACTGGTTAGTAGTATGTTTATCTGTATTATGTGCACATGATTGGTTGGTGGCTGAGGCTTCACTGCTTTGTGCGTAAGCGACAGGCGGGGGCATTCCAACCCGATGGTTGAGGGCCTAGGGTATTCCATCCCGAGGATGATTGGACCCATAGTATGTTGGCATTCCAACCCGATGGTTGAGGGGCCTGGGGTATTCCAACCTGATGGTTGATTGGGCCCATAGTATGCTGTTATTATATTTGTGCTGCTTGCTATGTATTGGTATTTTGGGGGAACTCACTGAGCTTTGGGCTTACAGTTTTGGATTATGTTTCAGGTACCTCAGAGGATCGCGGGAAGGCGAAGGCGTGATCGTGCACATCCTTATGTTTTGTTTCATGATTTTGGGATTTTCTGATGTTTAAACTAGTTTTGAAAACTACAATGTAAACAATTATGATTTTTGGTTGGTTGAAAAAGTTTAAATTTTCATGAATTTTTATGAGTGTTACAAGTTGGTATCAGAGCCATGGTTTGAGTGAATTGGAGGAACACTCGTGTGAATCCAGTCTCAAACTAAGGAAAAAGATTTTTAAAATGATTTTCAAACGATTTTCAAAATAATCAAGGAGGATGCGTTGTGTACGATCAGCCGGAGCCAGTAAGTAGACCCCAAAATACCTTACTGTTATATGATATTGTGATATGTTAGAGCTGATATTCGGAGCAGTGACCTATTCAACTATCTGTTCAGACTGAGATGTGAGTTTTCTTCAATCTGCATGTGAGTCTGTTGGCTGTCTATATGATTAACTGTTTGTTGAATATATGTTATCTGTTATATGTTGACATAGTGTGGTTGAGTTGAGGATGTACTGCTTTGTGCTGTAAGCCAACAAACCCGGGGCAATCTAATCGGGAGATTATGGGCTAGGGCAATCCAACCGGGAAGTTGTGGGCCAAGGTAATCCAACCGGGAGGTTGTAGACCCAGTATGTTATATGTACGACAATCCAACCGGGAGGTTGTGGACCCATTATGCATTATACGTACTTGTTTGGTTGTGTGTGGTACTTTGGGGGAACTCACTACGCTTTGGCTTACAATTTCAGTTTTATGTTTCAAGTACTTTAGATGACCGTGAGAAAGCAAAGGCGTGATCGTGTACATCCTCTTGGTTTTGATAATACTAATTTGGGGCACTATGATATATGATTTCTACTTTTAAGAGCAATGTTTTGTAAACGTTTGATTTTGATTTGGGTTTTGACTGAAAACAATGATTTCTATTGATTTAAAAATGAAAATTTTTACCTAGATTTTAGATGTTACAATTTTGGATGCATGTTCTATTATTAATAAAAAGATACTACAACAAACATTTCTAAAAAAAACTCATATGTTCCTCTTTTATCAAATGCATATCGATCCAAAAATCTTTATCTTTGGTTAATATTTTTATGTGAAATTGACATGGTTGATCAAATTACGATTAAAACTTAAAAGTTTTCATATAAATTTGAGTTTAAAATCAGACTCTTTGACTTCAGGTGAAAAACAATTAAAAAACGATGTCCTAATCTCATAAAAATAGTTCTTAAATCAATTGCTATTCTTTTATTTGATTGTTTTTTAATCTATTGCTATTATTTTATTCGTTTGTATGTAATATAATTGAGTAGATTTGTCATTGTACATTACTAATGTGGAAACAAATGAAAGAATGAAGCTATAGAAGAAAATAAAAAACGATTTGAAGGTACGCATATGTGACGATGAAGATCGTCTAACTAATAAAACATAAAATCTTGTCTACAAAGAGGTCTTTGAACGATTATGCAAAGTCTGTATATGTTACTTTATCTTATTATTATTATTATTATTATACCAACTTTTTATATCATTATATGTACTTTTTATAACATCCCGTGTTTTAGACAGGTTATAATCTAGTTTAGTTTGTATATTAACACACTCTTAAACATTTAGAACGTGAAATGTAAAGAAAATAATATTTTTCTAAAGTCCGGAGTCCAGAAAAATCTGATCAAATGGAAATATACATTCACGTTTAATGGTCATATTATTTTTGTTTGAATATCCCTAAATTTATATTTGTATCACCCATGTAATGTATATCTAGAGCCGTCTACATTTTTGGGTTTGAAGCAACAATGAATTCTTTTACTTGCTCAAAGTCAAACCAATTTAGATCATCATATTTAACCCCTTCTTCTCCGATTCTCCTCACCCCCTCCACTCTCGTACTTCCCCTTTCATCGTCTTCATCTCTCATAGTTCCAGATAATGGCCGTACAATGGCTTCTGGTGTGCCATGGACTGGTAACGCTGTTGGTCGTCGTATCTTTTCTGTGCGGGCAGTGGCCAATTTTTCAAGGCACTTTCATCCAACGCATTCACAACTTCCTTACCTTCGGCGCTTTTGATTACTTCCGGTAACTTACTCTAACCCTATTTTTATTTATGCTACAGTGAGTTTCGTGATTTCGATCGACCATTTGGTCAATCAAAAACTTTACTTTTTTCTGTTAAATTTCCTCGAAACAAATGAAAGATTTCATGATTCAGTCTTAATATTGATCCGCCATTGAAGAATTCATCCAAATAAACCATGCCAGAGAGGGGAGGGGAGATTATATTACTTTTCTTAGTCAATTTCACAACTCCCAATCAGTTTACAACAGTTACTTGTCGAATGTTATGCAAAAATATACTCTACTTTCGATTTTTCTTCAATTTCATATGAACAAAATGGAGCAACTGAATGGTTGATTTTGTTATTCATTTTGTGCATCTTTTATTATGATACAGGCGATTCATTGAGTATGTGTTTGGGGCTAGAGGTACCAATGCACTTTATCTTGCTCAGTACTACTGCTGTGATCGCCCTAACCCCATCTTACAGGTTTTTCCCCTAACAAATTTGCATCAACTAGGGTTCCAAATTCCAATTTGTAATCATTCTTTTTTTAGTTCAATCATTCAATTTCCAGTTTCAACAATTCAATTTTGTATTTTACTCTAATTTTCATTTTTTGTAATGTAGGCGATGTACTTAGCAATAGTTGGGGGTACTTATTGTTTGATCGTGTACACAACTTTTAATTATATTCCTGGTCATTATATTGCAGGATATCACAGGTATATATTCATTTTAAATCTATTTTTCCTTTTTCACCTTCATCTTCTATAAATCATATTTTACTTTTTTGCCCTTCATATTGATATATATTGTTTGCAGATACACAAGCATGTTGGCTGTTGGTGTAGGCATTTTACTTTTTCTACTGGCTAGTTTCTCAGATCCAGGAACTATTAATTCTGAAAATGTATCTCAATATCTCTCTTTATATCCATATGACAACATAATTTATTCAGAGAAAGAATGTTCCACTTGCAAAATCCTAAAGTATGTACATTGCTTATTGCTATTTCCCACAATTTCTCTTTAGAATATATTCAGATACTTAAAAGTATTTGAAATTTTGAACATTTTATCATTTCTTTGTTAATTGTTACTCAGGCCTGCTAGGTCAAAGCATTGCAGCATATGTGACCGATGTGTTGCTCGGTTTGACCATCACTGTGGATGGATGGTTTGACTTTTTTTACTTTCATCTGATAAAAATTTAAAAAAATGTATTTTCCAAATAAAGATATTAAATGAATCATTTTTCTCATTGTTTCAGAATAATTGCATAGGGGAGAAAAACACACTGTACTTTGTGATGTTTCTGTTCTGGTGAGTTAAAATGATAAAATCTCATTTTTAGTTAACTTAAGGCCATTAAAGTATTTTTTTTAAACCTAAAATAGAAAAATACTTTGTTTCAATTTGTAGGCATTTCTTTCTTTGTGTATATGGAACAGTTGCAATTGGCTTAGTTCTTGCTGGAAGATTGAAGGAACTAGAAGTTGTATATATTTTAACAGGTGCCTTTTATCTCCATATAATAATATATCTATAAATATTATTCATTTCATGCTCATATTTCAAATTTTCAATCTTATGTTTTAGATGCATATTTGTGTTGTAATTGCAGCATATTATGGCATTGAAAATTCATACAGGAGTCTAACACCACATGTTGTTCAGGTTACTTCTAGAATCTTTTATTTGTTTGTGGCAATTTACACATTATACGATCAAACATTTTTTTAATTATTTTTGTGTTGTAAATTGATTAATTATGATAACTTATTGTATTTGTTAACAGTGGTTGGTGAACTCTTACAACACTCAAATACTTGTAATGGTATTTTTGGCAATAGTTTCTCTTCTTCTATCTGGGTTCTTTGGGTATCATGCAAGCCTCTGTATAAGCAATACTACCACAAACGAGGTAAAAAGAAACACACATATATATATATATATATATATATATATATATATATATATATATATATATATATATAGCTTATCAGATTATAAGTTATTTTTATTTTTTTTCTCATTAAGTGAAAAACAAGAGTTGATATGATATCTTAATGGGTGCAGACATTCAAATGGCAAGATTATTTAAGTTGGCAAAGGAAAGTGGAAGAAGCAAAGGCAAGTGCAGAAGCCCTAAAAGCTAGTTTAGATGAGCTTTCTAGCCAAGAGATAAAGCCTCCACAAAGCAAATGGAAATCATTCTTTAGAAAATCACATCTTGAGGACATAAACATCGTTAAAAACAACATTTATGATCGAGGCTTTTTGAAAAATCTTTATGAGATTATTTATCCGCTTTCTTCACGACACACCTTTTCATTGAGTAAACTAAAAAACGAATAAAGATAAGCTCTTGTTTCATCATTTCAAACACATTATTTTTTTTTTTTAATTATGTTGGTTTTCATGTGGTGTAATTTGGTCTTATGTTTGTTTTTGGTTGTGTTTGGGAAGTGTATTTGTATTTTTGTAGGTTCTTAGATTTTGGCATATGTTATCTAGGTTAACAATAGTTGTTTTTTACTCTCTTTACTCAGTTTTTGATTTATCTTTCCAATATCATGTTTTGTCTTATTGGCAAAGTATAGTGTTAATCACACATACAATTTATTTTGTCATATCAGCTGTTATATCTGTTTATCTATGTTTTCTTTCCACAAAAATTCGATGCCAGCAACAAGAACTATATACAACATTGATTTCATACTTAATTGAAGAGCTCCCCTACTTCAAAATAATCTGCAATTATAGACAGTAACTAGATCTCACTTGAAATTGTATTTTTCTTTTAACTCTTCATTCCAAAAGCCAAAAGTTGATCTAGATTATTTTGTATGCTTCTTCTTCAATTACCCAATTCTTGATCCAGAAACTGATAAAAGATTCATAATCTTCTATGTCATTCCAACGAACCATTGACTTGAAACTTATTTAAGTTTGACTTGGATATCAATTGTAAGAACAGACATGAAATGACAACTGGGGGATTATAAATATTATGAATCAGGTGACTACAAAATTAAAAACAATTATGAATCTCATTCAAATATTAGTTTGAAAGCCAAAGCTGTTGAGGTCAATTCAGTCAAATAACACAAAAAAGCCTTTTCTGTTGCTCAAAGATTCGCACAAGGCTCTTTGTATTTTTGTCTCTTTTCATTTTTATCGGTTTCACTTGTTTACTTCATTTTTATCGGTGAAATTATCGGTTTCACTTGTCTACTTTTATTTTTATCGGTTTCACTTGTTTACTTAATGTATGTTTCACTACTCTAGAAAAGTAAAAAGATTTCCATTATAGAAGAAGTTGATCAAGAGACTTTTATCAAGATGCTTGTGTATAAAAGTAGAAAGATTTTCATTATGTTAATAGGTATTATATGTACAATTCACGTCTCTTCTTCACAAAGAAATGATTGAGAAGTATTTTTGGTGCATCAAAAAAATTATGTTTTTTGTGCTATTGACATCAGCCCAATGCATATCGAACGTTGTACAAGACCATATTGTTCTATTAGGCATCATACTTTATTTTTTACTGATAAAGTCAACCGTAATTTTCTACCAAATTTAAACAACATATATGTAACTTGCTACACCTTTATGAATTTCAAATTAGCTCATTAGAACATATGCATATGGTGTTTTCAACAAATGAACTTGGCTTTAGTGTTTTCAAAAACTTGTTCTGCAATAACAGCTGCATTGCCATCAGCTTTTTTTATCTCGAGTTCAACCTTCTGATAAGATCCGGTTCCTCTTAATGCATCTGAAATCAAGGCATTGATCCCAACTGCAATGGCAGCTTCAGCTTTAGCCCCATATACCAACCTCTGAATCCACAAAAAATATGAAAAGAATAAATAATTAATTAGTGAGCAAATTCATGATTTAGCCATTTAAACTATTTTGTGTAACTACTTTGTTGAATAGAGTAGGAAAAAAAGTGAAACTGAACCTTGAATTTTGAATACTGAATGGCTGCAAAGCACATAGCGCAAGGCTCACAAGAGGCATACATTTCACAATCAGAGAGCTCGATTTGGTTCAGCTTTTTACATGCCTGAAAAAAGTGGTATGATTAAAAAAATAAAGGGAAATTATGAAATTATCATCAAAGATTAAAAAAACCATGAATGTGTGACACATCAACACAAAATCATGATATTTGAAGCATTAAAAGTTTAACTAACCTCTCTTATTGCTATAACTTCTGCATGAGCAGTTGGATCCGTGTGTTTTGAAATCATGTTATGACAACTCACAACAATCTCATCTTTGCAAACAACCACTGCACCAAATGGGCCTCCATCTCCAGATTCTACTGCTTTATAAGCTTCTTTAACAGCTTTCATCAAGAATTTGTTGTCTTTGTCCTCTGCAACTGCTTGAAAATTATCAAATACAGACTTGACAACCATTACACTAAATCACAAATAAATTGAAGTAGAAAACGATAATTTCGTGTGAATTTGAAGATTGAAATATCAGATGAGAGAGACTCACTGTTAGCTTTCTCCATGATGGAATCAGATAGCAGATGATTATGTGTTGAGTCGAAAGAACAAAAGCACTCCTTTAGTTGAAGAAGATTTGAGAAGCAGATGATTTATTAACGGGTTGATGAACAGTGTTTTATTCCATTTGGCAATGTCTGCCATCTGCTATCCACGTGTTCTCTTCATCTTCTCTGTTTTCTCTTTAGCTTGCTCTCATCGCGACACCTCCTCTATTTCTCACCACCTCAACATAGACACCTTCTGATGCCTTTTATCTCTATCTGCTTCAAATTCCATACAAAGCTGTGGGCAAAAAACGGAGGACATCGACAGAAGAAGGAAATCCCTATTTGTCTCTATCTAAGAAAAAACCTACATCTAAAAATGATGCGACAAACACACGCACCACTGCTACGAACACAGCTACACTTACACGCACACACTAGCTACCACCACCGTTTGCCTCTGTGTGTTGAAGAAAGATGGAACTAGGGTTTCATTTCGGATTTGAGCAGAGTTAGAGTTCGATTTGGGTATGATTTGGATTCTATTTTTGTTTCATTTGGATTTTCATCTCTAACTCCAATACAGGTATAGGATTCTATGGTTTGATTCGTTTTCCATTTGGGTTTGATTTGGATGTCCATCTTCACCTGCTCCAAGCCTCCAACATCAGGTATAAGGTTCTTTAAAATTTTCAGTGAAATTTTTGTGTTTAAATGAAACACCCGAAGATTATGAATTCGTGGACGTAAGGATATCTGTTTTCACGAACCGATTTTATCAGAACCAACTTAGTTTGATAGTTGGTTAGAGGCCGGGTGGGTTTGAAGCTGATTGGTTAGAAATGCTAACTAAGTCTACGTCTGAATGAGTTTATGCTGTTTGATTATTTCTTTGACTGATTTTGCTGAATGATGAAAATGACCATATTACCCCTATCTTATCTATATTGCTTGATAAAATTATTATAAAAATACAAACTATCACATAAAATCCAAATTAAACATACATCATTTAAAATCCAAATACAAAATGTCATACAAAATCCAAATACAAATTGTCATACAAAATCAAAAAGTACTTAATAAATTGCATACAAATTTAACGGTAGCCATTTGAAAGTAATTGATTAGCAATTTGGTCACGCAAAGTAGCCATATAGCCAACAGTTTCTGAACCCCATTTTATGCCTTGTATGTTTTGGCCCTCACTACCTCCACCTTCCGTATTAGGAGTAACCATAGTGTTATGTTCAAAGTTCATAAATAAGTCATCTTGAATATTGTATTTCCTTATAAAATTATGGACCGCAACACAAGAAATGACTATCTCATTGCACTGGAAAAGGATAAGGAGCCATTTGTTTTAAAATTGGAAATCTCGCCTTCAGTACACCATATGCGCGTTCAATGATATTTCTAAGTTGTGCATGAGCATGATTAAACTTTTCTTCCTTAGTTAAAGCTCTGTTTCTTCAAAAATCGGCTAACCAATACCTAGTATTGTGGTAGGGAGCCATAAATCCACGAGTGTTGGTGTATGCGGCATCACAAAGGTAATATTTATCTGTAGATGATTGAAAAACTTATTATATAAATAATATATATAATAAAACTTATAGAAAAACTACAAACCTGGTGGAGGAAATGGAAATCCCGAAGTCGGATTAAATGCAACTTCTTTCAAAACTTTAGAATCATGTGCTATGCCCTCCCATCCAGCCCATACAAAGGTGAATATCATATCAAAATCACAAATTCCGATTACATTTTGATAACATTCACCTTTTCCTCTTCCCCTGTAGTGAGTTTGTTGTTCAACGGGCACAACTGCATGTACAAGTGTTCCATCTAGTGCACCTATTGCTCCGGGAAATATATGCATTAGCCGTCTATGTCATTTTAAGGTATTTCTTGTTGGATTAGACGATGTTGGTACTATAATTTCTCTTGCAAAACACATCATTGCACGTAGGACCTCATGAAAACATTGATGAGTTGTTTGTGTGGAGTGATGAAATCTTCCTTTAACCGCTCGAAAACGTTCATTATGCCCTATAACATGTAAAAATATAGCCATCTTCTCTTCAATGCTTATTGTCCTACTACGTTGCAACCAATTTCTTTGTGTAAAATGATTGCATAATTGTACAAATGCATCCTGTGAAAGACGCATCATATCGAAACATTGTACAGGATCTCCGTGTATCAAATCTTGTGTATACGCATGCCCATTTTCTACCGGTTCGCTAGAGCTTATTCTTTTAATTATTCGTTGCCTTTGTCGGACCAACATCACCCAATACCATGAGAATACAAGAAAATATAAAAATTGACCTTGTTTATCCATATGTGACCTGTAAAATATTAATTATAAATTATATAACAATCAATAACATAACAAGCCATAACATATAAATCCTAAACTCATAACATTCCATAACATATAAATCCAACAAAAAAATCCATAACACATAAGAAACCTAACCAAAAAAATTCATAATACATAACAACTCTAAACAAAAAAATCCATCATAAAAACCATAACATACTAAAGTCAAACAATTAATCCAAAGTTTTTTCCCGCATTTGTTACCCACGAATCACAAGTAGACAAGTTGAGTCGCAACCAAATTTTCCTATTACCCGCACTTTCAGCGAATAACATAAGAGCAGTGGTGTATTTCGGATCAA